CTGGAGGGAGCGATGGTACAGCATAGAGGGGGTTAAAAGGAAGAAAAGAATGGGACAACTATGATAGCATTATGAATGAAATATACTTAAAAAGAAGAAAGCACCATTACATTAGATGTTACTATATAGATCACTATGAAGAAAAAATGAGAAAGATTTTGATTTTGAAAATAATGACCATTTAAAAAATATCTGGAATTGTAGTTAACATGTCCACAGTCATTCTATTTTGGAAAGTTATTAAAATTTTTATCATAATTTATTACAATAAGAGCATAAAAACAATAACTTTATGCAACTTTAAAAATATACTGAGCTTCAACATACTGAGCTTTTTAAATTATTTGATTAGATAGGCATTTTTTTGTTTCAAATTCTGATACATTACTTGCTATGGTCTGAATGTTTATATCCCTCTCAAAAGGCAGATGCTGAAATCCCAATCCTTAATTTTAATGGTGTTAGGACCTGGGGACTCTGAGAGCTGCTTAAATCATGAAAGTGGAGTGCTCATGAATGGGGCTAGTACTAATAAATAAGACCACACGGAGGTCTCCAGGTGCATCATGTGAGGAAATAGCCCAAAGAGGGCCATCTGTGAACCATGAAGCCCAAAGAGGGCCATCTGTGAACCATGAAGCCGTCCCCGGGCACTGAGTCTACTGGCACCATGATCTTGAACCTCCTGATCTCCAGAACTGTGAAAAATAAATTTCTGTTGTTTGTAAGCCACCCACCCTGTGTTATTTAGTTAGAGCAGCCCAAACTGACTGAGACATCACTTATGGTAGATAGCTTCTTCTACCTTTTTAAGGCTTTAAGAGGGATCCTCATTTTTCAGGCTTATGAGTTGTAATTAAAGGTTTTAAGGGGCTATGTAATGACCAAATATTCTTTATTTTGGGAGCCGATCTCGGTTTTGTAGAAGGATGAGGAGATTGTATTAGGCACTGAACTAGGTTGTTTGTATGTGTTATGTCATTTCCTCTAAGATGAATATCATCAACATTTTAAATCCAAAAGCAAACAAAAAATAAAATTTAGCTGTCAAGTAACTTGTCCAAAAACATTCAATTAGAAAACAGCAGAACATGTCCTCACTTTCCTAAGTCTCCTATTTCTGTCTCATAAATTATTTTCCTTAAAGACATTTCACTTCATACACAAATACTTACTTTATATATTTAAGTCAGACTGCATTTTATTCAAATTGAGAAACTCTGAAGTTTGATTTTTTAAACTCAGGCATTATTATCAAAATGGAAATATCTCCTCTTTAAAATAGCACACAGTAGATTCATTAATAATGATTTAATGACTATCCTCATATCTAATAACAGAGCTATGAAAGTAAGACATGCAGGTAAACAAACGACTCTCCATGGAGAGAGTTACTATAAAGTTTTCTGTGGATAGTATGTATCTAACAGAATAAGCAGAAGTGATTCATAGAGCAAGTTTTTGGCAGTTTGAAGGTCAGCTCTCTGGGATAAGAGTAAGAAGACTGGGGACTGCAAATACCAGAAAAATGTAAAATGGATGAAAACTCTGAAAATAATGTATTACTCATATCAATTAACTTAGTGAAATGTTTGTACATGTATTTAAATATACTTTTTAAATATAAAATTAAATAAAAAGAAAAAATATTTTGTATTGGGTAAATCCAAATAGATTGAACTGAAAAACGCATTTTTACCTCAATACAAATCATTACTTTTTCACCTCCAAGCAAAAGAAGAAAATACGCCATTGTCGGTGATTTGTTTGTCTTTATGATAGGTTGAAATTTGTGTAATAAACTTGATGATGCTGTCAATCTTTTATACTGCATTGTATTTTTCCCTTTTATAACAAAGTATTTTTAAATAATAAATTGGGTGTGAGCTGTTTTAAGGAGGAAAAAAATAAGGTAAAATACCTACCTATATCCACTAGAGGGTAGTATTGTAATACTGTTGCATCTCAAATCAAGAAAATTCTCCACAGGTCTAAAATAATTTTATTTTTTCCTGGAAACTGGAGGATTTTTAAAATTTTATATAATTTACTTCCCCTCACATTTTATATTTTTGTTAATGTCTCCTGTGATGTTATTTATTGAATTGAAAAAATGTTTAAAATCAGCAAATTCAGCTGAGAAACACCAAAAAAAATACTATATTATAGGAATTTGTTTTTGTCCTGAATATCCTCTCTGGAAAAATAATTGAAATGCCAAGTAAAATGTACAAATTTTAAATGCACTGCAGGGCTAACATTATAATAAGTACTTTATTTGGCTAAAAATTAAAAGGAAGATTTTTAACAGATATGTATGTGCAAAATTTTCTCGAATTCTGAAACTTCAGTACAGGCTTGGGAAGCCCCTAACTTTCTCTTTTTGCTGTATGAGATTTTGTGACAGGAGATAATGCCAAAGTCTCCCCAGAAGTAAAGTTGTTCCTGGAAGTGAAAATGTATGTGTATATGGAGGGGGGGGAAACATAGCACATATGAGCTTTCAGTACTACCCAGTTTCAGGCATCTACCTGGAGTATTGAAACTTACCCCCTGTGAATGGGCAGGGGGCTACTGTCTTAATTATGGCCAATTCTCTAATGGCTAAGAAAATACATTCAAACAACGCCACTATATTCAAATGTGTGAATTAAGAAGACAGCCTGTTAACTGTGCCTGAAGGCCATCGTTAAGCCTTAAAATGGGGTAGTTTAAAGAGGTGAAGAGGATTTCTTTGGAGACGGTTAATAAGATTTTATGCTTTCTGTAACACCTTCCTTTTCACAATGGGGATGGTGACATACCTCCTTCAAATCAAAACAAGTGAGAGAGTATTAATGCAAAGCAACTGGAGAGTGTTACACCTTCCCCAATATTTTAAGGAAGCTCAGAGGCTTAGTATTAAGAATGGACCTAAAATGATGAACAGTGAAGGCTATGGCTTAGTTTCTTGGTCTCGTACTTCAAGTTCTATATATCCTCTGAAAATAAGGCGAGACTGCTGCTTTCTTGAACTCATTTTCTTTTGAAAAAAGCCACAAGTCCAGAAGGCCTTCTCGCCAAGAGGTGACTGGTGATCAAGTATCACATGCACAGCTGAGAGGGATGTTTAAAGAAGCCAGCTCAAGGGCAGCATTAACCATATCAAAGCTTACCCATATCAAAGTCTCCCATAGAGGACCCAGAGGGGCTGGCTTAGAAGAGCCCATTGAATCAGTCTGAAAGGAATTATCATTGAGAATTTGCCTGACCCAGGAGCCAACCATGCTAGGCTACATTCAAATTGCTAGGCTGCACAGCAAGCAATTAAGTTCTTTCCTACCTTTTATCTTCTCCCCTCTTTATCCCAGAGGAGCCAGAAACAGACTCTGATGTTACAGTAAAGGAGAAGCATGTGCTTGCCAGGAAAATAAGGAAGCTGCCCACGTCCTTATGTACTGCTGCTGGTTTTCCAGCCTGAAGCAGGCACAGCAGGGGGGCAAGATGCTTTCCATTAGACCAGTGGATGGAATCCTGTTACTAAGATTCTGGGCTGAACATTTTAATTATTAAAATGAGACTGTGCTTAGTCATCAGAATGACCATTGGACTTTTATTATCTAAGAGGCCTCAAAATCAAGATACAGTTTTCCATCATTTCCCTCCTGTCTCGTCATAGTCCTGTTGGCTCCAGGCACCTACTGATATGGTTTTTATTATTATTATGTTAGATTACATTTTCTGGAACTTTATAAAAACGGAATCATATATTATTTAGTTTTTTCATTTCTGGCATCTATTACTCCATGTCATTTTAACATTAAAACATGTAGTTACATTGATCAGTGGTTATTTTCTTTTTGTTATATTGCTTTCAAAAATTATTTAGTAGTATTTTATTGTATAAATACACTATGTATTTTTAACATTTTAAAAAGATTTTATTAATTTTTTTAGAGAGAAGGGAAGGGAGAGAGAAAGAGAGGGAGAGAAACATCAATGTGCGGTTGCCTCTGGCATGTGCACAACTGGGGACCTGGCCTGCAACTCAGGCATGTGCCCTGACTGGGAATCAGACTGGCTACCCTTTGGCTCACGGGCTGGAACTCAATCCACTGAGCCACACCAGTCAGGACTGAAAATACTCCATATTTTTAAAATCTTTTCATCATTATTGGATAATTAAATTGTCTTCAGTTATTGCTATCATAAAAATATATTTGAATATTAATGTACATATTTCTTTGTGTGAATATCACTCTCTATATTTAATTAGAAAAGAGAAATGAAAGGAAGCAGACAGTGAGTTAAATAAACTGGGAAATAGGAACCTGTCTGCTTTCCCAGGAAGTTACAGCTTCACACCCCAGAGTTACAGCATTGTGAGGCCAAACTCATTAGCCCTCCTTCCTCGTCCTCTCTGATGCCAAGTTGCTGGGGAACACAGGGGAGGTGCTGGACCATAGAGGCCTTATATCAAAGCTCTATGGATGGGGGTGCAGACCCATCTAAAACCCAAGAAAAGCTTGGTAAATTGATGCATTCTTAAGAAGAAGTACCTGGTCTGTCCCAAACCCAAGCTAATATAATCCCAGGGGGAAAAAAAGAAGCTCTCTCTCTCTCTCTCTCTTTCTTGCCCACTAGGCAATGAGCTCACACTCTGCACACATATGTTCTCTTTTCATAGCCATGTGGCCTTACCAGCCACATGCCCAGCAGCCTGTGGAGAGCAGAACCAATAAAATGTCATTGTTCTGTTCAAAATAGCATAAAGTACATAAAACAAAGTGGAGTCAGTCATGTCAACCAAGATGGCTGCCAATAAGCTATGATGCTTTGGTTCAAGAGGGAAACTACCTAAGTCATGCTAGACACATCTGGCAAGGAGACACATCTCATATATCTGCATATGTGACCAGAACAGCCGGCCACCCACAAATAGGCTTCTGGGGAAATCCCCCACTTGGCATCAGGGGTGCCAAGACATTTATCAAAAAACCCAGGGATGTGGAGTACACTACTTTCAAGGGTGTAACTGAGGCAGGGTTCAGGCCACTACTGAGACAGCTGAGCTCCACACGCCAGAGTATTTCCACACCATGCTGATGTCCCTTGACATTGGCAACCAGAACCTCTGTCCTGCTGGACTGAGGACTTCCTCTGCTCCACTGTCCACCTGCCTCCGGAGACTTTTCCTGTAAGATACTGACGTCTCCGTGCTCACCATGCTGTCTCCTGAACCTGCAGACTGAGACTCTGGGACCTGGGTTCATTGTCCCCTAATTGTCATGCAACATTATTATTGATGTTTCTGAGTGATTAGTATTCTGGCACATTATGTTTTGCACTAGTAGTACACCAAGTCTGGTGTGGGGAGGACAGCTTTTCTCCATGAGGCCTGACAGCTAAGCCTTCGTGACTGCCTGTGGTCAGGTCTGAAAAAAATCACATACATGTTTTAACCAGCAGCTGAATTTTTAAAATATGCTTTACTCACATTTTAGTGATCTACTCTTAGATATCTATGAGCCACCTACCTTTTTTCACTTGCCATTCGGAGATGCTGTACCGAGAATTTGTGGGTATTATACTCCAGCTTCTAACATGTCATGGATTAAAATGTGGATCTCCTTTGGTCCAGCAAGTATTCTCTGCTGTTTCACTTTAACAGCCTGTGCAGGTTGGCGCATTTCTACAGGTTCTACTTCAGCATGTCCAATTCATACAGTAATTGCCTAAGGGCAAACATACATGCCTTCTGTTTGACAATACTGTTAAGGAATGTGTTTCTCATTCAGATATAACACCCATGCCAATAATAAATACATTTAGGTAAAGAAGGTTCAACTGTTTCACATAAATTCTATTCAAACTTTGTAATTTCCATAAAAATTTACTTCTTTTTTTAAAGATTTTATTTATTTATCTTTAGAGGGGAAGGGAAGGAGAGAGGGAGAGAAACATCAATGTATGGTTGCCTTTCCTGAGTCCCCTGCTGGGAACTGGCCTGCAGGGAACCAGCCTGCAACCCTGGTATGTGCCCTGACTGGGAATTGCACCTCGATTGTCTGGTTCACAGGCCCGAGCTCAATCCACTGAGCTACACCAGCCAGGGCTAAAATTTACTTCTTAATCCCATCGATGATATATCCTATATCTTCCCAATCTGACTGTGGCATCTGTTAAGTCTTCGCCAACAGGTTTCAGAATCACAGTGCATTGAGCTCCCATGTTGAGGAGCCAGGCAATTTCTTTTCCATCCCTTGGCCGTATTAGCCACATGTATCCAAATAGCCTGGGCTCCAGCCCAGTGACCCTTTCCCCTTTCTCAGTCTCTATCCTGATATAATTTACTGATCTATAATTCCCAGCAATTTGAAGTCAGGTTTCTCATTGTCCTCTTTGCCTCCCAGTCTTTGAAATTATTTCAAGGTGAGCTTGAAGAGCCAAGAAGGGAGCCACTTTATTCCGCAAACCTCTAACAATATTGCATTAGACATTGGTTTCAACCCCATCAATGACCATGTTATTCACTGCATTTCATAACTATTTAACAATTTCCACCCAGATGGAACAAAATTTATGACTGCCTACGTTGCTGGTTCTCATTCTCTGTAAAGTCACTCTGGTTTTCTTAGCCTGCAAAATAATCAAAAGGGGGATCAGAGACAACAAGCCTGATTTGTTTTCTCAGACCTTGGCTTGATTTTTCAGTGTTAAGGTTACATGGTGTTTGCACTGAATTGTGTCTTCCCCCTCTAAAATGTGTATGTTTAAGTTCTAACTTCCAGTCCCTCAGATTGTGATCTCATCTGTAAATGGGGTGGTTACACAGGTAATTCAGTTAAAATGAGGTCATTAGGGATGGTCTCAATCCATTAGGTCTGGTGACCTTTTCTAAAAAGGAGAACTTTGGATACAGAGACACAGAGAGGGAAAAGAATGTGAATGTACATGCGTGGAAGACAGTCACATATAAGCCAAGCAGAAAGTCTTGCAACAAATCATTTCCTCGCAACTCTCAGAAAGCACCGACACTGCCAATAACTTGAGTTTGTACTTCCAGCCTGCAGAAATGTGAGACAATAAACTTCTCTTGTTTAAAGCATGCTGTCCCTGGTAATTTTTTTATGGCAGCTCTAGCAAACAAATACACATGGAATGCCCTTGCAAAGGGGATCCTCTTAGTCACACTATTTACCATGATGTTGGAAAGGAACATAATACGTGGGTAAACATCTGTATCATCAGAAAGTCAACCCAGCATGGCTTGCCTATACAGCATGTCAGCTGCTTCATCTGGGAATTGCTACTTGGCTTTCAAGGGAGGGAAAGACTAATTTCCCTTCTCAGGGTAGAAAACTTTATTCAAGTTTTTATACAGTCTATCATGCCACTGTCTCATGGGGAACAGCCTACTGCTTGTTTGGATCATGTTTAGAACATTGTGATTGGTCAATAGTGATCTTTGGGTTCTGCATCAACCCAAATATGCACCACCATTCTGCCCTATTCAAAACCATGGAGACTGCTCTTAACTCAGTCACTCCCAAAATCCATTTTAATGAAGTACTTTAGGAAGCAGATAACACTGGTTCACAAATAAGACAACTCCTTTGCACTATATCTCCTGGTTTCAGGAAGTTTCTTGTTGTTGTTGTTTTTCCCCCTAGCCACCCCCCCCATGGAATATGGTTTGGATGACAATAAGTCATAGTGGTACTATGTGTCATTTCAACTTAATTTTCCCCTTTGAAAGGAGCCCTGAGTCTGGGAGCCTTAGCATATCGACTCATCAAAATCTGAGCTTAACTTAGTGACAGGAATCGCCCCAACACTTTTCTTTTAATTGATTTTTTTAGTTATTAGACGCGGTTATTATCAAGGGTTTGGTCATTAGACCTTGGTCATTATCAAGGGTTTGTCTACTTAGCTTGTGTCTTGTTATTTTATATTTTCTTATATACCCAATGAGCCAACTTCTCAGGAGTTGGTTCTGTCATTTCTACATTTCATTGCTTACTTTTTAAAAATTTTACCCTATAGACTGTGAACAAATAAAAAACAATGCATCGGTTACTTTTAGCTGCAGTCACTGAAGTCAGTGCAGCTGCTGTCTCAGTCTGGGTGATGGGGACTCAGGAGCCATCCAGGGCTCAGAAGGCCATCCTTCCTTACTCCTTCTTCCCCTGAACAATGGTTTCTCATCTTGTTTCAGTGAGTTGGTGATGCTCGTTTATTTTCAGCTTTCTTCCTTTGTTTTATGTTGGATAATTTATAATGTCTTAGACATCACTGATCTTTTTCTAAAAGGTCTAATGTGCAATTAATCTCATTCAGTGTATTTCTCTTCTCAGACATTAGAGATTTTATATCTATATTTGAATATGAATTTTTCTGTCACTTATCTTTACTAAACACACTCAAAGATTCATTCAACTTCTTAAACATTTTGAATGGAGTTATAATAATTGCTTTACAGCACTTTGCTAATAATTCTAACATGCTATTCATTCCTAGATTTATTTCACTTGATTAATGTGTCCACATGGGTTTACTATGGGCTGTATTTTTTTCTGCTTTAATATGCCTAACAATTTCTTATTGGATGTAAGCAGCTGTCGAGTTTTCTTTGTTGGTCACTAGATGTTTTTGTAGTCATATAAATATTTTTGCGCTTTGTACTGGTCTGCACTCGAGTTATCTGGAAATCATGAAGGGAGAATGAATTACAGCTCTCTTCCTAAATGCCCATTTCTTAATCTTCTTTACCTGTCAATGTGCTACCTTATATGTATGGCAAATGGGACTCTGTAGGTGAGGTGGTAAGATTATCCTAGTTTATCTTGGTGGCCCAGCATAATCCTGAGTTTTATGAGAGGGGAACAGAAAGCTCAGAGTAGAAGAGATGTAACTAAGGAGGCAGAACCAAATGCACGTGTACCTTGGCAAAACCTTCTGTGTCGAGAGACACATTCTAAAATTGTTCTACCTCTAATTATTGCTGTTCCTCACAGTTAGTAAAACTCCAGTGTTTCAGCAATTACAATCAGGATGCAGCCTCCCTAAACTCCTCTCACAGGAAAGGTCGTTGCCACTGGCACTCTGTAACTCAAGACTTCCTGGTCTTGCAGAGTTCATGGCACTGAGGGAAATATTTTAAAATCTTTTGGTTTTCTTTCTCCTGTTCACCTGGCAATCTCTACTCGCAGTTCCTTTGGTTCCCAGCCCTATACTTCACTGCCAGCTTTGCAGGGCAGAGGTTTCATAGCTACTGATGACTCTCACCACAGCACTGAATCCCCATCTCACAACTAACACTGGCCGTCATCCTTGTATGTTTTAGTTGCCAGAAATGTCATTGGATTTTGTTAATGTTTCTGGAACTCAATTATTGTGAATACCTACCTTAGAAGATTTATCCTTCTTTTTTCTTTTTTATATCTTTATTTTCAGATATTTTGTTACCTTTGTAGGAGCATGCTTAAAAAAACAGATGACTCTAAATTTGAGAGGGCAAGCCAACAGTCAGAATGTCGTTTTGAGTGGACTTTTTAGTGTCACATTTACCATTTGTCTGCTTACTAAGTTCTCCTGTGGCACTGTGGGGGTGCACTGCTCAGATCTCAGGAGCTAAAGCGGAGACGACTGGCAGCTCCAGGTGCAGCCCCTCCAGACCCGCAGGGCATTCATTCCCTCTTCCTGGCCAGTCACTTAGCGTAGCCCCAGTGCTGGTGTCGGCTCATTCTGGTGGCCAGGAGGCTGGCATGACAGATAACCTTGGCTCTGCCCTCCACATTAGCAGCACCAACATTTTCAGAATCCTGCTGAAGTCTGAGATGCTTCCCACTCAATTTTCATCTTTTCCTGTTATAGATATCAGGCCCACATTAGAGTCTAAAAGCTATCCTTATTTACAACTTATTACAGTTTCCTTCAATGTCTCTTTTTAAATTTTTAAACAATTAAAAAATGTTCTCAATTCCCATTTACATTCAGTATTATTTTGTATTAATCTCAGGTATACAGTATCATGTTTAAACCATCATATACTTTACAAAGTGATCCCCCTGATATTTTCAGTAGCTCCATGGCAATGTATAAAATACACCATTCACTATTTTCCTCATGCTGTGCTTTATATCCCTGTGACTTTTTCATGACTACTCATCTATAGTTCCCAATCCGTTCTTCATTTTCACCCAGTTCCTCAATCCTCCTTCTCTCTGGCAACTATCATTCTGCTCTCTGCATCTCTAAGTTGGCTTCTGTT